GTTTACATTAAAAATTTCTAACTCTTTTTTTATATTTTCGTATAAAGGCCTCCTCAAAAGTTTATAAAGTGTATCATCATTCATTCAGTTTATCAATTTGAATTTTAATTTGTAACGGTAATTTTTATAAAAAATCACATTTTAAATTGTCTTTAAATTGTCTTGAAAATTCAAATAGGAGAACTGAACGAGACTTTAAAAGTAGAATTGAGTCTTCCACTGTTCCGCAACACTTCACATTCCAGAATAGTAAGACGAGGGCTGCAACAAGCTTCGATTTCCAGTGCCTCTTTTGCTCCAACTACTCCTCCTCCCACTCCTAATTTTGTCAAACCATTGAATTTTGTCAAAAGATTTAACGGCCCAAAACCAAACGCCTCCTCAAGCCACCGCCACATTCTCCTTTGTTAAGATATACTTTTATTTATCATTATCTTTCATCCATTCATTGATTCATTCAACAGAGTGATTAACTTTGATATATTTGTTTTTAGGAAAATTTGACGCACTTCTCACGTGTAATGTTTTCCATCCATTTATATACAAACTTGCCTTCAAAACTAACTTTAGAAAAAGAAAAAAAAAATTAAGGGACAGCTCATAAACTTGCTACTTTTTTCCTTTGCCGATTAAACCTTATATTTGATAAAAGAACATCCTCCCTAGCTAGGAAAAAAGTAGTACCGGTCATAACCTGTTTAGTTCATGGATTAAAATCATGAGATTAGAATCATTTTCGATTTACGTGTGCTTTTTGTGAGAAAAAATACTGTAGAGAACCATGAACCATGATTTGAATCAGAGAACGAATCCTCCAACCAAACGGAAAGATACTGCAACAGCCAAAGTTGTAAGAATGTGAACAGGAGACAAATGTTATGTTTGTGGAACCACTAGGCTTCTATAGATTTATATAGGTCCGTTTATTTCACCAATTCGAGTTTTCTTACAGTAAAAAATTTTTAGAAACAGTCACATTTAACTTTTTTATTATAATAAAAAATTCTCACATAAAGTCACATCTCAATACTAAATGAGCCCATATGGATATAAAAGTAAAACTGCGTTCTTTCACAGTATAAACAAATTATATAAAGGCGTCCTCAAAAGTTTATAAAGTGTATCATCATTTATTCAGTTTATCAATTTAAATTTTAATTTATAACGGTAATTTTTATAAAAAATCACATCTTAAATTGTCTTTAAATTGTCTTGAAAATTCAAATAGGAGAACTGAATGAGACTTTAAAAGTAGAATTGAGTCTTCCACTGTTCCGCAACACTTCACATTCCAGAATAGTAAGACGAGGGCTGCAACAAGCTTCCATTTCCAGTGCCTCTTTTGCTCCAACTACTCCTCCCACTCCTAATTTTGTCAAACCATTGAATTTTGTCAAAAGATTTAACGGCCCAAAACCAAACGCCTCCTCAAGCCACCGCCACATTCTCCTTTGTTAAGATATACTTTTATTTATCATTATCTTTCATCCATTCATTGATTCATTCAACAGAGTGATTAACTTTGATATATTTGTGTTTTAGGAAAATTTGACGCACTTCTCACGTGTAATGTTTTCCATCCATTTATATACAAACTTGCCTTCAAAACTAGCTTTAGAAAAAGAAAAAAAAAATTAAGGGACAGCTCATAAACTTGCTACTTTTTTCCTTTGCCGATTAAACCTTATATTTGATAAAAGAACATCCTCCCTAGCTAGGAAAAAAGTAGTACCGGTCATAACCTGTTTAGTTCATAGATTAAAATCATGAGATTAGAACTATTTTCGATTTACGTGTACTTTTTGTGAGAGAAAATATTGTAGAGAACCATGAACCATGATTCGAATCAGAGAACGAATCCTCCAACCAAACGGGAAGATCCTGCAACTGCCAGAGTCGTAAGAATGTGAACAGGAGACAAATGTTATGTTTGTGGAACCACTAGGCTTCTATAGATTTATATAAGTCCGTTTATTTCACCAATTCGAGTTTAAAATTCGAGTTTTCTTACAGTAAAAAATTTTTAGAAACAGTCACATTTAACTTTTTTATTATAATAAAAAATTCTCACATAAAGTCACATCTCAATACTAAATGAGCTCATATGGATATAAAAGTAAAACTGCGTTCTTTCACAGTATAAACAAATTATTTCGTTCAATCTCGTAACAGTGGAGTATATATGGGTATATATGATTCCATTCTTCCTCAACTATCCATTTAAATGTCGAACCTGAAATGGAAACGACCTGCATATATATATATGCTTTATGACTTATGAGCCCATTATATTCTTTTCTTTTCTAGGTTTAATTATTTTCTTTGGAAGTTAAAATCTTGTTGAGAACTAAAACAAACTTATTATTACTTAACTAAGGTCTAAGCCATACACTCCAACCCTACTTCACCGACTACCTTAGAATTAGGCATATTTACGGGAAGCCCAACAACGCCAACTCATGAGAAATTTCCTTTTTTTTTTTTTTGTGGTAATCTGTAAAAAAAAAAAAAAAATTAGTAAATAGTATATTTTTAAAACAATATACTTAATCTTGAACATGTCTAGACTCTAGAGTTTGCTACACTTTTCAAATTGTATAAAAATGTAATATTGTTATTTCAGAAAAAAAAAATAACTTTTAAAAAAAAAAAAGGTACATGTAAAAATAAAAATCCATTAAATTTCTAACCAAAAAAAAAAGTTTACAGACGGTTCGTATCTCCATATGACGCGGAAATTAGAACTTTAACACCGAAAAATATAAATTGGAGATGCGGGGTATCGATCGCCTAACCTCTTGCGTGCTAAGCGAGCACTCTACCATCTGAGCTACATCCCCACAACAGCAATATAATCATGCCATATAGTTAAATTATATAAATCTTGACTTCTCCAAAGTTCCATCTTCTTCAGAAGCTATAAACGGGTCTCCCACTTTCATTGACGAACTCTCAACTCTACATTCCAAAATGCTGCTGAGGCGAGTGCTGCGACGAGCTTCCATTTCCAACGCCTTGTTCGCTCCTCGCTTCTCCTTCTCCTCTTCTTTGCTTCGCAAATGCCCTCTTTCCTCCTCTTCTGAAATCCCACGCAATTCTTTCGTCGAACAATGGGACGATCCGAACCAAACCATTCCTCAACCCACCGCCACAATATCCGTCGACCGCTCCGGCCTTTGCAATCCACCTGGTGCAAATTTTCGTTCTTCTTCTTCTTCTTCTTCTTCTTCTTCTTGATTCTCACGAAAGTAAATGTTGTTTTGTTTTTTCGAATTGCAGAGCATTCTCATGGACCTACTTCCGACTCTGAGCTCGTCAAGCACCTCAAAGGAATCATCAAGGTGGCTTTTATCCTTTGCTTTTGTCGCGGAATACCACTAATCTCTAGGGATTAGGCTATTAGTTATTCAAATCATATTAGTTAACCTGAACTGTATTTGATTAATACCTGTAATTTACTCGATTTGTTTGTTTATTGTTGGTTGTTCAGTTTCGTGGTGGGCCAATCTCAGTTGCCGAGTATATGGAGGAAGTCTTGACAAATCCTAAAGCTGGATTCTACATCAATCGAGATGTTTTTGGAACAGAAGGTGATTTTATCACCTCTCCTGAAGTTAGCCAGATGTTTGGAGAGGTAATTTGGCTGTTCGTTCAACTCTCAGTTGTTTGGATTGAATTTTTGCTATAATAACGAAGGGATTAATGGGTTTCATACATTTTTTATTAATACTCTAGATGGTTGGTGTTTGGGCAATGTGCCTGTGGGAGCAAATGGGACAACCAAAGAGAGTTAACCTAGTTGAGCTAGGTCCGGGGCGAGGAACTCTCATGGCCGATCTTCTTCGCGTATGAAACATATTATTCTCATTTTAATTTCATGTTTTGGGTTGGATGATGGAGGCTTGAGGGTATATCTTTTTGATGTAGGGTGCCTCAAAGTGTAAGAATTTCACTGAGTCATTGCATGTACACTTGGTAGAGTGTAGTCCAGCACTGCAGAAGCTTCAACACCAGAATTTGAAGTGCGTGGATGAAGAGCCTACGCCCGACAAGGTTGATAAAAGGACTGTCAGCACATTGGCTGGAACCCCTGTATCATGGCATGCTGCATTGGAGCAAGTTCCGTCGGGATGTAAGAAGTTTTCTTATTGCTGTTGAATTCAGTAAGATTAATGTAATGGATACATGGTGTGTTCTTTTTTATTGAACTGAATAACCTACCATTTGTTTTATTGTTCTTTATGAGTATGCAAAAATTTGGTACTTATATATGCAATGATCACGGTAGAACAGATAACATGAAGTGAATACTGAATACGAAGACCTGTATTAGTATCCAAGTGAATGCCACGTGCATATTAAATTTCTTCATTAGTTTCTTTAGAACTTGGGGAATAGTTATTAGGTCATGACTCATATGGTAAGTCGTTTGCTGCGAAGATCTCAATTTAGTCGAATTTGATGATTTTAGTTGCAAAAGCTGGCCATTTTACACTGACCAAAGCTTTGTATGAGAAATGCTTCTCACGAAGATCAAGTTTGGTAGTTTATTAAGACAAAACTTTATGCTCTTGCGTATCATGTAATTATCTACTTGAGAATTTGAGTTAAAAAGTTTGTTTTCTTCACTTCTCGACTACTTTTTTTTTTGGTTGATTCGTCTATTTCTTTTATCCTTGAACCCTTGTACCAGTGCCTACAATCATCATTGCCCATGAATTCTTTGATGCTTTACCAGTCCATCAATTTCAGGTTTGTCTTCCATTCTATTACTGAGTAATTTTCACAATCCCTTTAAATAATGTGTCTTGAATGATGAAATTCTTGAAGGGCTTCTGTCAAACTGCTTATTGCTTTCAAGCTTTGACATTGGTATCTTGCCTTTCTTTTGATATTCACTGTCCATATATTTCTTATGTGACCATGTTCACTTCATATAATTTTTTATTTTATTTCTTTCTGTTTTCCTGTTGTCTTATTCTTGTCACTTTGGTTCCTAATTCTTGTACAGAGGGCTTCTCGTGGCTGGTGTGAGAAAATGGTCAATGTTGCAGAAGATTCGAAGTGAGGACTTAGTAATTAGTTTATAATTCTGTTAGTCTATTTGCATATGCAGATTTTAAAATAACAGAGTTGTTTGATACTTACAAATCTGCTAGGTTTCGTTTTGTTCTGTCTCCACAGCCTACACCTGCAACTTTATACCTGGCAAAACGCTGCAAATGGGCTACACCTGAAGAAGTGAGTAAGCTTGAGCAGATTGAGGTTTGCCCCAAAGCAATGGAGTTGACTCAAACTATTGCTGATAGAATCAGTTCTGATGGAGGTGGGGCTCTTATAATTGATTATGGCCTGAATGGAACAGTCTCAGATAGTCTGCAGGTTTGGACATTTCCTTTGCAATAGATTAGCATAGCATTGATTACATTACCTTTGTGTGTGTCTTCTCTGCTTTCTTTCCACTCCACCTGTGTGTCCACCTTCATTCTTCCGAGGAGAAACTTGCCAGACCCATGAAGCATTACATACACAATGCAAGTTAATATGAACAAATTTCCATCCCAAGAATAGAGTGATGTGATAAGTATTTGAAACTCTCATCTGTTAGATGCACCCCGTGTGCTGTTGGTTGGCTGAACTCGTTTAGAGTTTTCTGAATATAACCAAATTATATTTGATTTACGCTTCATAGTAGTATGAATACCAAATTTTGGATCCTGTTCATCTCGCTTCACTCGATACTTGTACTACTTGTTCTTGTAAACATATGCAATAATCTTAAGACATTTGCTGCAGGCAATTCGGAAACATAAATTTGTCAGCATTCTTGATGATCCAGGATCCGCTGATCTTAGTGCATATGTTGATTTTGCTTCCATCCGGCACTCTGCTGAGGAAGCTTCAGGTGTGTTTCTCACCGTTCCATATTTGAATGGAACAACCAAACTAAAAAAAATGGAGATCAATCATGTGTTTTCTCACCATTGCAGGGCATGTATCTGTTCATGGGCCAATTACTCAGTCTCAATTCCTTGGTTCTCTTGGGATTAATTTCCGAGTGGAAGCTTTACTGCAGAACTGCACGGATGAACAAGCCGAGTCTCTAAGGACTGGATATTGGCGTCTGGTGGGTGAAGGTGAAGCACCGTTTTGGGAGGGACCAGAGGAACAAGTGCCTATTGGAATGGGTACCCGATATTTGGCCATGGCTATTGTGAACAAGAAACAAGGTGTTCCAGTTCCATTTCAGTGAATACTTGGATAACGCGGCTTTGTGTTGTAGATTATCAATACACAAGTTTGTTTAGTTCACTAACAATCTGGCATAGATTTGCGCAAAATTTTATTCATGTGTTAAATCTTTTTTGCTCTTTTCAGACTTTTATCTTAAGCATCAGAGTTGCATTGCACAGTTTTTACACAAGCGAATCCTTCTTGCTGCTTTTTATTAGCTTTCCAAGCAAGAAGTGTGGGTGCCCAAAGGTGGTATATGGTGTCGCGCAAATTTTTTATGATCTCAAATACTTGACAAAAACCATCTTATATAAAAAGCTACACTTTTTTCTTTTCCTTTTTTTCGAATTTTACACTCTAATCTCTGATGTTTTCAAGAATGCTTTCACTTATTTTCTATGTTCTACAAGGCTGCGTTAAAATTATCCTCTAAGTTATCAAATTTATTTTTATTTTTTATTGCTAATTAATTTCTAATCTAGGCGTTATTATAAGGAAAAAAGAGATAAATACTCTTAAAAATGCACGAGTTTTAGATTTTTAACTTTTACATTTTATTAATACCATTTAATCAAATAATTATATAGTTAAAAGGGTATTAATTAAAATTAAATTTTTAAAATTTTTAAAAAATATATTCAGAGCTGAGTGTAAATAATTTTTCTTCAATAAATTTAGAATAATCTTGACAAATATCTTTTAAAAGTGCATGAATTAAGATTTTTATCTTTTATTTTTAACTCATAACATTTTTAATTAAATAATTATAATAAATTTTTATAATTTTTAAAAAATATATTTAGAGCTGAGTGTAAATAATTTTTCTTCAATAAATTTAGAATAATCTTAACAAATATCTTTTAAAAGTGCATGAATTAAGATTTTTATCTTTTACTTTTAACTCATAACATTTTTAATTAAATAATTATATTAATAAATAATATTTAT